CTCCTCATTCTCCTTATCTCTGCTCACCACTCCCCCCCCCCCCACACACACACACTGTCCTAGGTGTAATTCATCTGGTTTCCATCGTGAAAAGCGAGGGATGCAGAGGGAAGAGAAAAGAAAGAGCAAGAGACAACAGAGCACGATGGCGCACAACAAGAGGCCCTTTAGATGTTGCAGATGATGCCTTTAATCCTGTCAATAGCTGCAATTATAGTAATTATCTCTAATGGCGGTGCTTTGTGTCGAGGCTCTGATATGTTTAACAGATGATGCAGAGCCGTGCCGCCTCCGCTCGCCTCAGAGCCAGCTCAGATTGATATTAATGAAACGACAGAAAACAAGGCAAAAGTGATGACGGTCCCAGGAGGCACGGAGACTGCGGAGTGTTTCTCAAGCTGCAGGTCGAGGTCTAATGGAGGTCTCAGAAATCCTACGGAGCGGTTTTTGTACAGAGAAGAATGAGGGGAGAGACGGGAGATTAATGTTAAGAGGCAGGAACGACTCCGAGGAAAATAGAAACAATTATAGATCGGACCAACGGGCTGCCGAAGGAAACGAGAACGGCTTACAAGACGTGTGAGGGAATAAAATGAGCGGTGGCTAAAATTCACTGAAACAAACAGAAAAGCAAAAACACCAGTTTAGTTTATTTACCAAAATATTATTTGTCTGATAAAAAGAAATATTCTGATCATAACGGAATAAATTAACAGAAAATATACTTTTCTAAAATGCAATAAACAGTTTTTAGACCCAGCTCTGCAGGAAACTGAAGAAATATCTAAACCTGAATTAGGATTAACTCAAACCTCCATCTCTAAGAAAATGGATTTTATTTTACGTCTTTATTTTGAAGACAATAAAGTTTATAATAAAAAAAAAATCTACTGACAGCAATGAAAAATCAGGGAATTAAATGGAAGTTCAACCTTTGAGGAAAACGTCTGGATGGCACGTGCACTAAAAAATACAGTTTAGAAATTAGAACATTTCCCAATATTTGTATTTTGCTGAAGTCTTCTTTCTTTAATACATTAAAACATTTTTTGATACACGTCATGTTTAGAAATGTAAATATTTGACCAGATTAACCAACAATCTTTGGATTTCCTGAGGTTATAAAAAACTTGAAGAAATAAAATAAATTTAAAAAACACAGCAAATCTTTTGAGCTTTCTTGAACTAGCACTTGAGTTTGAGGATTATGGATTAAATCTTCCTCTGCAGCGGATCTATCCATCCACTTTCATCTCAGATCACATTGTGGAGGTAAAAGGAGGGAACCCCTGAACTCGCTCTCCCCGGTGGGGGAACCGAGGGGTTCCCAGAACTGAGGGATATAGAATCCCTTTGACAAGTTCTGGGTTTTCCTTAAGGTCTTATCCCAGTGGGACCAAACCAAAAAACCCACAGAGGGAGGCGTCCTACCTGGAAGCCTAAACCACCTCAGTTGACTCTGACTCAGCTGCTCCTTTGGTCACAGTCCACATATCTCATAACCAGAGGAAAGGGTTGGAACAAAGACGAGCTTATAAATGGAGACCATTTTTGTATGAGCTCCAGCTTCACCACAGCAGACCCAAGCAACACCCGCATTACTCCAGATGAAGCTCCAATCCATCACTCCATCTCTTGCTCCATGCTGCCATTGATCATGAAGAGACTTGAAGAGAACAACAAGTGGGATGAATCAGTGCAAACAAGTACCTCACAGGCAGTCACAAAGGACTCCTGTTTTCAGTGCCACTCATCTGCACACAGTCTGTTCCAGCCCCCCCCCCCCCCCCCCCACACACACACACACACACACAATTTTAATAGAAAGAAAAGCTTTGCAGAGAGTGGTGAAGGCTGCACAGAAGATGTTGGAGTCAGCCTCCCCATCATCACAGACATCTACACCTCCAGATGCAGGAAGAGGGCCAGCTGCATCATGAAGGACCTCACTCACCCAGCACACACACTTCTTGTCCTGCTTCTCTCAGGAAGGAGGTTGAGGAGCATTAAGTGTAGAACCACTAGACTGAGGAACAGCTTCTACCCTGAGGCTGTTAGACTCATGAATCTCTAACCAGGAGAATCACTCACATCATGTTGCTGCTGATATGTTTCATGTTGCTGCTGATCTGTTTCATGTTGCTGCTGATCTGATCTGGCGGCTGTAGCTGAGTGGTTAGAACAGTCGTCCTCCAATGCAAGAGTTGGGGGTTCGAACCCCACAGCAGTCACATGCCGAAGTGTCCCTGGGCAAGATGCTGAACCCCTCATAGGCTCTGTGTGTCCCATCGGTGTATGAATGTGATAAAGCTCTGATTAGTCTCTTTAGAATGATGTGTTTAATTAGCTTTGTATAGATCTAGTATAGAGCTGTATGAATGGGTAAATGAGGACATGGATTGTAGTGTAAAGTACTTTGAGTATCTCAATAAGATAGAAAGGTGCTATATAAGTACAGTCTTTTTACCATTTACCATTTCATGCTGCTGCTGATCTGTTTCATGCTGCTGCTGATCTGTTTCATGTTGATGTGTTCATCTGTTCACACAGACTCATGTTCGTGCTGCTGTTCAGCATAATGTTTTTATTGTTTTTATGCTGTTAGTGCTTAGCGTATTTTTAGTTGATGTTTTTCTTAGTTCATATCTTTGATGTTATTACTGTTTTTCTTTTACATTTTATTGTTTGATGTAACTGGGATCCTGTGTACATAATTTCGTTCCACCACATGTACCACATGAGGTGGAACAACAAAGAATCTCTGACTCCGATATATTTACATATTTATACTCTTTTGTATTTATTTATTTGTTAATTGTTAGGCTTCTTGATCTGAGACCTGACTCTGAATTTCGGACCATAAACATGTGAATGAGAGCTGGTATGACAGTAAAAATCCTTGAATCCTTGAATGATACATATTGCACACAACACACACCACAAAGGTTGCGTGACAGGTCACTGCGCAGGCACGGAGCAACACTGAGACGAACAGAACCACGTAGGTAAGGCTGCGACACACATGGTGCAGCCACATCGTGCAGCAGCAACAAACACATTAACTGTCACAGACGTGACTCGGTTCTGTCGAGCCGGCAGACAGAGAATCATCCGGAGCCACAGCACAGTCGGGGATGGACGGCTCCAGCCATGATGCTGTAAAAGCAAAGACACAACAGCTCCTCGTGTCCTGCACACAATAAATCCGTGCACGCAGGTCATGCAATCTGTTCCTTAGAGACTGAAAGCCCAAAAGCAGGACCGAGGGGAGAGGGGGTTTGCTGCGTCTCTGGAGGGTCCTGCACAAAACACCGGCTCGCTTTTCTCTCCATGTTTTCCTCTTACGGCGCCCAGGTAATCGAAGGACCCAGGGCAAAATATCTGCCGCGGAGTCCCCAAAAGTCGTCCCAAAGTCCCCACTCACTGACGGTCGTGACTCCAACAGTGCGTCGCGGTCATACACGTAGCGTGGGCGTGCAGGAGCAAAGCGTCCAAACAAAAACAGTGCGGAGCTTTTTCCCCGGCAGTGAACTCGAGGTTTTGCAGAAGCTGCGGACGCAGCTCTTGCTTCACCAAGACAGTCTAGCCTTAAAGACAACCCTGGATCCCTCCACAGAATTCATTCAACCTTTATTTATCCAGGTTAGTCTCACTGAGTGACGAGGACTCATTTACAAGAGAGACCTGGTTTAGACAGACAACATATAAAAAGGACACAATCAAAAGTCTTCTCAACCCACAAAACACGAGTACTGGTCCCTGAAGCTCCCATGACCCTTTTAGCAACTCTAAATGGGTGAAGATCTGGTCCAATGAACCAAGACCCAGATTAAAACCACTCTGCTTCTCCTGAACCTGAGGTCCAAGAACCAATCAGAACACCTTAACTGTATTTCATTAGATAGAACACACTTTGCATTCCAAATATTTGTACACACTAACAGAAATGTACTGTACTTGGTACTAGTCCAAATCTTTTCCTCACACACAAACTGCACATTGTTTGGTGCTTTAGTCCGTCACCCTTTGGTTTGTGGCCACCGTCAGCAGTAACCCAACCAGCTCTTGGATTCTTGATGCAGCGATATAAGAGGCAGACAGGAGACGGAGAGCGCTCAATAATTCATTAGATAGAAGGCTAAACTCAACTCCAACCTGAATAAACCACCTTTAACCACACACACGCACGCACACACACGCACGACCTTCTCTCCCACTCATTACCCAACATTGTTTCAAGGCCTCAAGTGTTCAATATTTCTCCATCTTGAAGAATTTTCCACCCAGCCTCAGATTTCTGCTCAGATCTAATATTTATTCGTGAACGCGGCGTACATTTAATAAGATATGAGCTGATGGAGACGAGCTGCGTCACCAAACAGAACCTCAGTTTGTCCACAAAGTTCTGATGAAACACTGAATCCATGATGGCCCCGATTGATGACGGCCACAAAAGCTCACAAATCTTCCATCGGGGAATTTTTGTTGGGGTGTTTTCCTAAATTATAAGGTTTAAAATAAAATAAAAATACACAGAATACAGAAGTCCCTCACTGCTTTGTGATTCATTTATCGTGAACTCACTCCATCGCGGTTTTTCAAAATAAGATTGGACATGACACACAACTGGCTGACTGATGGATGAGCCGCACGATCGGCATGGAACATTTATTTAAAATAAATTATTTCACCTACTGCGCATTCGTGCAGCCCAGAGCTGCAGGAGAAACTCCCTCCTGCTGCTTGTCAGACCTCCACTTTGCAGAGGAGAAGTGGGCGTGGCCACAGGTGGCAGAGAGTTGAAACCATGACATTGTGCTTTTTTAGAGCATTTAGAAACCTACTATTCCTACTATATGAAGCCACTGTGCTGCTACAGTTTAGTAAAAAGAGAAAAATGGAAACATCATTTCAAAAAGGCTCTTTTTGCTCAGGTATATATTTGAGTTGTTTCCCATGTTCTGTCACTGCACAAATCCCAGCCCAGCTGCTGGACTGACCTCGTAGAGCGTGATGGCCCCGTTGGTCTCGTTGGGAGCTTTCCACTGCATGAAGATCTTCTCCTCGTACGGCGTGTTCTGCAGAGACTCCACGGGAACTGAACCCGGCACTGCAGAGACACAAAACACACAGAATTGCCCTTTAATAATTAATGTACTCAATGGTAAACCCTTATTTTGAACTTTCTCTGTTATGGGAATATCATCTGGGGTCAACTGAAGGTCAAAGAAAGAAGTGAATCATCTCCTTACATCCCTTTGATCTACATTTATATTAACAGAACCACTGGATTAGAACCCAGTTCAAGAAGGCAGCTAACGGCAGAACACAAAGGGTTAAATGTAGTCGTGTGTGAGGTGAAACTTGGTGTGTCAGTAGCTGAGAGTGATCCCATCATCAACACCGAGTGCTGACAGGTCACACTGACGTGTAAGGCTGCAGGTGACGTGCATTCTTTAAAAAATATATATATATTCTTTAATTTATATTAGGACGTTTTAACATCATTCATTTCTTCTAGCCTTACCGAGTTCTGAGCACCTTTGGTTCAGCTTCTGTCCCGTTTTATCAAGACTATTTTAGACTCTGCTAAAATTATTGTTTCTCAAAACGTTAATTTCTTATCGTTTTAAATACTCTCGTCTTACTTTCTTGCAGTATTAAAAGTAAAAGTACTTGCTGAATGTATTACCTAATGCAATGGTCTACAATATCATAAAGTGTGCGTACCGTATGTATATTTTCTGTAATACATTAATAGTGTCTTTCCATTTTAATGAACGATGCTGCAGATAATACATGTTTTTATTGTGTTTACTCTGTGACACAGTTCACACTTGGACTGCAGGGATGACCTGCAGAGTTAAATGTCATTAATCAAAATAAGAAAGGAATGATTTTACCTTTGAAAGACTTTATTTAACAAAGTAAAATCAATGTGTCATTTTAACTGCAGTAAAACATTTAAGTAAAAGTTGTCTGTCTGGAAAAAGAAGCATTGAACACCTGACAAAGGAACAGGCTCTGATCAGTTCAACTCCAGTTTGTCATCAACTAGTTCAAATACCGTCTAGTCGACCTTGTAATGGATCAATAGTGAACGATATTTTAACTTCCTGACTCCATTTTTAAAACTTGGACCTGAGTGTCGAGACATTTGGAGACACGTCTTGTCTCCTAACATCATGAATGGACACATTTTAATATCGCAGCAAGAATTTCTTATTTCTTATTCAAGTTCAGAAGAAGGTGGTTTGCAAAGTTTTTTGAGTCCAGTCTGGATCTTTTGAGAGAGAATCTGTCCTGCTGTACCGATTAGTCTTTCAATAATCTTTCAATAGTCTTTCAATAGTCTTTCAATAATCTTTCAATAATCTTTCAATATTCTTTCAATAATCTTTCAATAAGGCCATGGGTGGCACATATCTTCTGGCTGACTCTCCACAGTGGAATCCAGTTTGGGTGTGTTAGTGGTGCTGTGGGTGCCCCCAGCTCAATGACGTTTATACTAGAATATGACGTTTATACTAGAATATGACGTTTATACTAGAATATGACGTTTATACTAGAATATGACGTTTATACTAGAATATGACGTTTATACTA